AAAAAAAAAAAAAAAAAATAGATAGATAAATAGTAGCTGTAGTCCCAGCTACTTGGAAGGCTGAGGTGGAAGGATCACCTAAGCCCAGAAGGTCCCGGCTTCATGAGCCCTGGTCGTGCCACTGCACTACAGCCTGGGCGACAGAGCGAGATCCTGACTGAAAAAAAAAAAACAACTGTAATGCAAGTAGGTGTATGCGGCTACAGAGCTGTCCTTCAAGGGTACTTGCATTTCGTAAAGTTAATGCGTCCATGGCCCTATAGAGTGGTCAGAGCACATCGCCCTGTGGCCCAGCCAGCAGGCACTCCTAACAAAAGCCGCGTACGCACTATTCATTCGCTCTGAGTCATGGCGGCTCTGAAACGCAAAAGGACCCTAGCCACCTTGCGGGCAGGCAGCTGGCAGTGCTTGCCCTCGCGTCAGCACCGCCAAGGACTACCCTCGCAGACTGCGCTGGGCTCGGCATGGCGGCCGATGTCTCACAGGCCATGCGTCGCGTCACCAGTCCCGTCCATGAGCACCCGAAGCCGCCCCAAGCCGCGCCTACAGCCCTCTCACAGGGCATCTTTTGTGATCTCTGGCACCGCCTGCCCACCTTTCTCCTCAGGCTTGTCCTCACTCCTCCGGAAGGCCCCCGATTTGGGGTCTTGAGGCAGCATGGCCCACGCCCAGGTCTCGCCAGTCCAAGAGCCGCCAGAAACGCCTACCGCCTTCTTATGGCGCTCCCGCCCGTCCTCGACCAATAAGGTTACAGGATCTGCGCCTGCGCCTGCCTCTCTGCAGCCCTCGTTCAATTGGATCACAGCGAGAGCGCCTGCGCCCTTGGCATACTTGCACGTGCCGTGACCTTTAGAGGTTAGAGGTTAACGTACTGCGTGAGGGAAGCAAGGCGCCTAACGGGAGTGGCATTATGCATGCCATGAAGTTGTTTCTTATGCAGGACTTTGCGTGGGGTGGGCGGGACATCGCGCGATGTGGGCAGGGCTTCACGTGGCTTTGCATTCATTCCTCTCTCCTCCGACATTTTGGGGAGTTCACCTTTCTTTGCCCAGTGTGATGTTACAAGTCTATTCTACTTTTCTTTTTCTTTTCTTTTTTTTTTTTTTTTCTTTTGAGTTGGAGTCTCACTCGGTGGCCCAAACTGGAGTGCAGCGGCCGCTCCCGGCCACCGCAGCCTCGCCCTGCTGGGCTCCGGCGATCCCTCCGCCTCAGCCTTCCGAGTAGCCGGAACTACAGGCGCGCATTAAAATGCTGGACTAGTTTTTTTGTTTGTTTTTTTTTT